TTTGAAATAATGTTGGTGAACATTTGTCGGTGAAATAATTGTCGGTGAAATGATTGTCGGCGAAATGATCGCCTCCCATCCGTTATACTTATTTTATTGTGAGTATCACATGTTATGTAACACAACATTGCACTAGCTTATTTGGTACCCGACCAACATCTAAACGCCATCTTAATACAGAATTTTTTACCATCAAAAAAACGATACACTTATGAATACAAACAATTAACGCCACTTAATTATTTCTTTATACAAAGAAATAGTGAATATAATATTGATAATTTACAATTCGCTAACTAAAAGCATTTACCGTAACAGTGCCAACATATAAATACAAGCCATATGTAATAGATACTTTCTGTTTCACTCTATGCACAAAACAATTTGCTTTGACATTATGTCTCACAACATACTGAATATATACTCATTTGCTGACTATAAAGAAATGATACTTTTCTAATTTAAATGTACCATCGTACACATTTTTACCTGACGCTTTCAATAAACGTTACCATCCGCGCGTACGAATCATCCACAAAATAATCAATTTCTAAATTCTGTCGCTTTGATATTGACTCAATAATACTACAATCAATTCCCTTGCATCCCTTGCGCATATTGTGGCCAACTTCTATATCCAGGGAAAGGCTAAAGCGGAGCAGAACGTGATCCCGTATTCGCGGTTTTATTGGCTGTCATACAAATTTGACCAATGGGATCGCCTCCGCTTTATATTTAGACATGCCCTATATCCAGAAAAAGCTACCTGGGTTGCACAGGAAGATCTGTCAACATATGCTTATTCCAGTTATATCCATAGAAGACATCGCTCATCCTGGTACAACCTGCAGTAAGTTGGCTCCAACAACACATCCATATCTCCATAGTTATTCTACTCTTGCCAACTGATTATTACAAATGCATAATGCCTCAGAAATGTCTGCATGGCCTACTGCCTTTCCTATATCGCAAGATAACTCAGTAACATTGTTTCAACATAATGATGCAATTGTCCCGAATTTTGACTTTGCAGAAGAAGTGCATAATGAAGATTTATTGTATTCACGATTAGCAGCAGGTTTCCTTTGTTCCGCTGATGGTAACAATCTTTCCAGCCAATACATAATCATATCCAAAAAAAACTTTGTCATAGTCAGTTAACTGGAATACCGCTTATGACATTAAACGTTTGTGTATTATAAACTGTACATTTGGCAATCTTTTGCAGTAGCTGAAATTAAAAGGAGAGAAAACACTGAAAACCCCATTTAAGCTTATGTGCGCTATACGGATTGCGTACTGTCACTTAGACGGGATACTCTAAGGTTTTTGCTTATTAACATTTAACATTGGTAAAAGCTGTGTAGCTTGCGCAGCAGTTCTTACTAATCTAGTTTATATGGAAATTTAATATGGGCTTCCCTATGTTTGTAATACTATGGATATCGTACCCCAATGATAATAACGATTGTAGGGCAAATAACTGTCGGGCAAATACCGTAGAGCGCTGACTAAAATACCCCCCTATGTATAGTACCCTGCAGCAGTTTAGGCCGAAAAAATTGTAAAAGACCCGGGTATTATACAAATCAAATATTACGTTATTACGTGATGGGTATAAAATACTAATATACGAACAGTATGCTGTGACGTATACTTTAAACATATTGTGTAGAGGCAAACTTCACGAAGTCTTTAACGAAACGCTTCGTCGCCAAAAGTTTATAGAATTTTATTTGTATAATGAGAGATTTTGCCTTTCTGCCAGGATGCAACTTTTCAACAAAAGGAGATGCTTCCATTAGTTTATCTTTTTTCCTATCCAGTCTCTCACTTGCTTGGTTCTATGTCGAATCTGCTTGCTGTTTCTCGGATAGAATGGTGACGATAATAATAATAAATGACAATAAGTTTTCCCTTCGCTGACCATTTTCTGCGAACTTGTTTAGTGATACGAAACCGTTTTGTAGGCCTGTTGGCGCGAACCATAGCATGTATCGAGAAAAAGAATATGAATTCGTGTATGTGTTGCATTGTCTTTATTTACATAGAATGTGTTACATAAACACTAGGGGGCTGTCAATGTATTACCATGGGTGTACCAAAGTACCCACCGAGTAAAGTACCCCTCAAAAAAATGTGAAATGTAAAATACCCGGGGTACTTTAGTCAGCGCTCTACGGTATTTTTTTGTAACGTAAATAAGAAATCTCCGTCAGTTTATGAAACATGTGCTGCTGGCAAAGTCTTGAGGCCGCAGCTTCCTTCCTTCGAAGCCAGCAAAAAAAAACTTTTATATTAATTAATATTAATATGGAAATTTAATATTTCCCACTAAGCTCTTTATTACATTTCTCGTAGATGGCTTCCAAACGTCGTAAAGGCTCCTCCTCGCGTGGTAATTTTAAGAAGCAGAAATCAACAACTTCAGAGTCAGACCACCTCTCCAACATTGATTTCCTCAGCAACTCAGCATCCCGATTCTTGCAACAAGATATTGACTCATTGAGAGTGAAGTTTCAAGGAGCCTCAGGCAAATTTAGTGTTATTCCTAGAAATGCTGGTAAGGCTACCATTTTAATATTGTTCAATATTTGTCTCAGTGAATGTTTATATTAAAATTTCATGTATTGTGCAGTTACCAATTTTCCAGGGCAATATGTTCTTCCTCAAATTATAAATTACTCCAAACATACTGTCTGATTATGTGGAAACTTTAATGTTGACAGTCTTGGGATTACAAACCACTCTGTCCTGACCTTCATTAACAGACTGCACAAGGTTGTGTTGAATTCAGCTGTGGCAATAGGAACAGCTGAAACAAAAACTGACTCTCTGGTGGATGACCTGCTATGCATTGTTGAGCTAAATGAATGGCCTACATGGATTGAGTAATTATAGAGATTTCTTTTGTTTTTGATATATTTCAATGCCTAAGTTTGCTCTTCAAAACCTAGGAATCACCCACTGTTGAGATTGTTCATTAAAGGCCAACCTCATGTCTCAGCAGACCCAGCATTTGTTATTAATACGAGATCAACAACATATGCACATGACTGTATGCGCGTATGATAGTTTTGGAGGTCTGCATGCTTTGATTGCTTAACATGCCCATAATTTTTGTCAACTCAAACAACTTTTTTAACAGGATAAACACATAAGAAAATTTAGGCCGGAAACTGGTTTTGGCGAAGTGCAGATCGCTGCAGAAATGCTTGCGTGTGGATCTGAAAACATAGGTGCCGCCCGTGCAGTAATAGATCAAATTATATTTGGTGTCCGCGTCATTTCGACATACGTCACATTCTACAAAGCTGAAATTCGTGGAGGATATTGGACAGAACTTTCCAATGGTTTACCAACGCAGCATTCAGTCGTGATCAAAAGGTGGCCTCCGGCTAATACCGATCAGAGTGATTTGAACCTTGCAGATCCGGCTGGTAGGAGAGCAGTGTTGGGAATCGCTTATTGGCATTCGTGAAGTTATTTTGCAATGAGAGAAACCACATGAGATGTAATAGTTAGAGATCACGGAGGAAGTAACGCTTCAAGCACGGCATGCGAAATTACCCAACTATCACTTCAGCCACTGTCAGCGCCACTAATGCTAAAAGCAAACAGTTATGTAGCAATTAGAACTATCTTTCGCGCATGTAGTAAATAATAAGGCTCAGTTAATATTAACTCGTTTTGATACGAATTCTTTCTCTATCAAACTAAACGACAGAACCTAGATCTCTCGTCATTATCACATTAACCTCGCTTACAGTAAAGACACACATAAGCTTACCCCAATGTATATGATACGAACACTTGAAACTAAACTGACGATCTGCAATTCTCTATTCCTCTAATTTTCTTTTTTCCTTGATCCTTGAAATGTGTCCGTTTAAGTACTTTTTCTGATCTTTCTTCCTGGTAAATTTCATAAATTATCTTTTCTTAGCCCAAATACTCCTTAATAGCCTGCGTGCTTTTTAATTTGAAAATATAAGGAGCGATTTTTTCACCTTGGTCTTGTTTTAAAAGAACATAAAGTGCTTTAAAGCAAAAAAAATACTAAAATAATTTATATACTTAATATAAATATAAATGATATGGTTAACAGCTAAATAGTCAAAATATGTAACAAAATAAAAGCCATGACAAGTCAAAACAATTTCTCCAACTGCAGAGGAAATAAGAGAAATGATCAGTAGTCTAAACCGGAACTTAGATGAAAAATATGTAAGAGAAATTCGAGATTATTTCAAATATCGTTCTCATGAATTATAACACTTAAAAGACAAAGAGTTTAGAAAAGTCTTTATTCGTCATCTTTACTTTCATAAACATGCACTTTATTCCTGAATAGAACTTGACAAAGAAGTTAAGAATTTACAAAGAGAGAAGAATGAATTAATTGAAAAGAACGAGAATTAGAAGCAAGTCAAAAGGCACTGGAAGAAAACCAAGGGAGTTAGAATCTAGACTCAAAGAAGCAGAAGCGGGTCATTAGTACCCTACCACTAAGTTGGGGTTTCAGAGTAGACTCTATACCGAAAACGCCGTCTGGAACGATACCGGGCGTGTGGAGAATAGTGTATCTTCAAACATTAAAGTCGCCAGTCAGGTACCCAGTCCTGGCGTATGGTGGACGGCCTGCTGCGAACGTTCTTCAAACGGTTAATAATTATGATGACGCAGTTACTCACATTTTGACGGTGGTGTTGACTTGAGCGGGTTGGTTCAGAAAACTTTTTATAGCAATCCAGTGCAAGGTAACTATTACTATCGCCATTTATTTCAGAGATTAAACCTTATTTATACTATAGGGGGAGATGGGTTGCATATAAAGATGTACAGCGCTTTGAAGGAGCCTTATCGGGTGTCAATGAAGAAGTTGCTATTGGAATTATGGTAGCCCGATCCAAGAAAAGGTATATTTCTCTTGGACCGAAAAAAGAAGTCATTAATACAGAAATGCTTACATTACAAGAGGACACTAAAATGTTCACCCGAATGCTCGACGATAAACAGCAAAAAGAGCCAAAGAATAACATCATCTTAACAGACGAGCATGACTTACAAGTCCCGCCCGATATATAACGCATAACAAACACGGCACAACAGGCAAGTCCCGTCCAATCTATAACGCATACAAACACACGACAGGCGGCAGACAGGTGTATATTCAGATTTGATTGAATACATCGCTCTAACAAAATATTGAGGGAAGAATTAAATGAAACTCGTTTAGAAGTTCAGCAATTAAGAATAGAAATTGCTGAACTTCGACATCTTCTAGTCTCTTTTTTAAAATAATTTCGATATTTTATAAATAAGTAAAATATCATAATTTTTCTCATAATTAGTCTTTCGATGTTTCTGTATAAATAAATATTATAACTAAAGTTCGAGAACAATATGAAGACATGATATGATATGGAATAAGAATGATATAATTGCAAAATACTCGTAACAATTATTATCATTTGGGTTATAACTATATTATTACAGAATTCCACTTTTATAGTTGAATATTTTTATGTCCCTTACGCCTACGTATCATTGTTCTTAGAAAATCGAAACATCACGTGCCTCAACCAGAAAATCGCCGACTCGACTATTTTTCCTTGTTCTTCAGAAAGTAGAATGTCGAATCCCAACCAAACGTCCTCGGCTCAACAGTACGATGCAAACTCATATCTAAACGGTTCTCCTGCAGCAGCGGAGGCTCAGCAATTATCATATTACAACTACGATTATTCTTCGTACGGTCCCGCCGCAGGGTACTATCCCGGTTATGAAAACTATGATTATTCCACCTACTCAAACTACTACTATCAATATCCAAACCCCATATCAGTCTCTGCTCCTACTACAACGCCGCCTGTAGTAGAAGCACCACCGACAATAATCAATCCTGCTGGAAGTGCGTCTTCTGCAAAGAGTACCAATAACATCGTTGGTGTCGGATCAACAATAGGCCAGGAAGGATATACAATCCCAACAGAGAATACGAAACCGAATACACCAAAAAAGAAACAAAAGACTATAGTCAGAGCTGCCGGTGGAGAAGTTTGGGAAGATCCAACTCTATTAGAATGGGATCTAAGTAATCATCTCAACTTTCGAAATCGCTTTTGTAATCGGTTTTTGTAAAAAGAAACATTACTCACTCTTACTCGTAAATCTTATAGACGATTTCCGACTGTTTTGCGGTGACTTGGGTAATGAAGTGACTGACGAAGTATTACACAAGGCATTTAGCAAATACTCGTCTGTTCAGAAAGCAAAAGTTATTCGTGATAAAAGGACAGGCAAAACAAAAGGGTATGGCTTTGTCAGTTTTAAAGACGCTGATGAATTTGTAAAAGCATGGAAAGAAATGAACGGTAAGCGCAATTCTGTTTTCTTCAACTTTATGAAATCGTGTCTTGATTCCAAGTTGACGCTGACTTTTGTTTTATTATAAAGGCAAGTATGTTGGTAATCGTCCTATTAAGTTGCGCAAAAGTAGTTGGAAAGATCGAAATATCGAAGTAAAAAGCAGGAAGTACAATCCATACAAATAGAATTTTCTTTTCACTCTTGTAATGTAAATTATAATTCTTTCTCAGACTAAATAATTCGAACGAATAATGATGCTTATCTCTCCCAAACACTCATTACCCTCGTCTTCCCCCTACATCTTTCCTACCTTTCCGTAAATGCATTCACATATACACATGCATATATTCTATCTCACTCAAATCCCAATCCAGAATTCCTTCCGGCTTGCATTCTTCTGTTAAGCCCATCCATGAACTGTTTCTCAAGATCTTCATTTACCCTACTAGACACGTTCGAATCGATAGCAGACTTTGACGTCATTAAAGATCCATAAAGTCCTTTTTTTCCTGATGTTGTGGATTCAACACTGGTATCTTTGGCCTGTTTCTTGGCTCCCATTAGGCGAAGGAATTTATCCTTCCTCTCATCATCTCCATTGAAGGTTGCTGAGTACCAATCGTTCCAAGTATCTTGGGACCTCTGACAAGATGGGATGCAATCGGAAGGATGAGTCGTGGATAAAAAGAGTTATGCAGGGGATATAGTCACATGACTCGGAGAAAAATAACCGCTACGCACATTCTGCTCACAGCTCACTACAGTCTTGCCCGGTTTATCGTCCGATTCTTCTTGTTTAATCTTTTTGATTTTATCTCGGGATTTCTGACAAGATGGGGATGCAATCGAAAGAATGAGTCGTGAATGAAAAGAGTTACGCGGAGGGGGAGGATATAGTCCAACATAATTTGTTGAAAAAAAAAACCAAGCTTTATTTGAATGTAAAAAGCAAATAACCATTCAGATTCTACGTACATTCTGCTCAGACCTGTCCGGTCTATCATCCGATCCTTGTTTAATCTTTTTGATTTTATCTTTGGATTTCTACAAGATGGGAACGCAATCGAAAGGATGAGTCGTGAATGACAAAAGTTATGCGGGGGAGGGAAATGTTTGTTCAACATAATTTGTTGAAGTAAAAATACTTTATTTGAATAAAAAAAGCAAATAACCATTCAGATTCTACGTACGTTCTGCTCACTGCTCACTACAGACTTGTCCGGTTCATCATCTAATTCTTCTCGTTTGATCCCTTTAAAGTCCTTAATTTCCCGACGGCTCTTATTCTTATCATTGCCTTTTTCAGATTTCTCTGCAGCATCCTTCCTTTTCTCTTTCTCCTTATATATTTTCTTCTCACCTCTGTTTGCGTCTGTACTGGCTAATGTACTTTTCGCATCACTTTGACTCGACCCCGACTGATCAGACTGGCCACGTTCTCGTCGCTCGCTTTTTCTTTTCTCCTGGTTTTCTTCGGGTATATTGGGGTCTAGATCAGAAAGTCATATAGTTATCCTACGAATAAAACCATGTGAAGGAATTCGCAATATTGAATGTCAATTAAAGACAACCGTGTCTTGTGCGCTTTGCTATTTTATCTTTGCTGTCTTGTGTTTGCTCTTCATCGTGTTTACGCTTCTTGCTATTTGAATGACTCTTTTTCTTGTGGTGCTTCTTTCCTTTCCTGTGACTTCCAATAGTCGCTCGTGTCTCACTAAACTTGGCTCTTGCCATGGTTTTATGGAGGAGACCCTTGTCAGAAATTCGCTTTATAGTTACAATATCGGCGCAAAATATCGTCTAACCGAATATAGGACAACTACTTTCACGTGCAATAAATTTGCTCCACAAAGATTCCTTGATCTGCTTTAAACTTTTCAAAATGACCGAATCCAAAGTCTCTTCCACTTACGAAAAACAATTTACCGCAAATCGAGATGAATCATTCGAGGCTTTGAAACAAGCTAGATATGGTGGGAAAGGGTTATCTGATCCTATAAAGACCGTCGAGGTAGATTCAACGGAAACCGTTACAGTGCGTCCTATTTCTTGTATCATCAATTAATAAAATCTTCCCCACTCTTTTTTGAAGGATAAATGGCAGCTATTACCAGCCTTTTTAAAAGTAAAAGGACTGGTCAAACAGCACATAGACTCGTTCAATTACTATATTAATGTTGACCTAAAAAAGATCGTCAGAGCGAATGAAAGAATAAGTTCAGATGTCGATCCGAGATTTTGGCTCAAGTGCGTGATTCATCATTTATCGCTCTTAATGAATTGCGGATTAATGGATATGAAATTTTGTTTCGCATTTTAGATTTACAGATATTCGGGTGGGAATGCCAGAACGCCCCGATCAATTGGACCAGAATCGTATATTCACTCCACACGAATGCCGATTACGTGACTTGACATATTCGGCACAGATCTATGTTGATATACATTATGTCAGAGGAAATCAGCGTGTGCAAAGAAAAAACGTGTCGATCGGTAGAATGCCAATCATGTTGAGGAGCTCGCACTGTGTATTGACCGGCAAGTCAGATGCGGAGCTTGCGCAAATGTGCGAATGTCCGTTAGATCCAGGTTGGGAACAAAAAAGTGTATCATATTCGACATCGAGTAAAGTTAGTGGATTTATTAAAAAATTATGAATTTTGTTGTCTTATAATAGGTGGTTACTTTATTGTCAAGGGAACTGAAAAGGTTATTTTGATTCAAGAACAGCTTTCTAAGAATCGTATTATTGTTGAGAAAGGTGACAAGAAAGCTGTTCAAGCTTACGTCACAAGGTATTTATTTATTTGTTATGAAATGCCTTTTCTTGTGATAATATCCTCTAAGAATCTTAAAAATCACTAGTTCTACTCACGAACGTAAGAGTAAAACGTATATTATTGCAAAGAATGATGTTAAAAATGACAAGATTTACTTGAAGCACAACTCTATATCAGATGACATACCAATAGTTATTGTCATGAAGGTACCCTGAAAAGTGAATACTTTCTCTCCTTGTTCTCGGTTCTTTCTTTCGTATAATGCACCATTCAGACTGTCTCACTTTTATTTTTCACAGGCAATGGGAGTCCAATCGGACAAGGAAATAGCTCAATTGATCTCGGGGGGCAATCAGACATTCTTGAATATGTTTGCACCTAATATAGAAGAATGTGCACAGATGAAGATTTTTACTCAACAACAAGCTCTTGATTATATCGGAAGTAAAGTAAAAGTTACCAGAAAAATCGCCACAGTGCGTAGGCCTATGGCCGAGGAAGCATTGGAGATTTTGGCAACTGTCGTTCTTGCACACGTACCCGTGGAGAATTTAGATTTCAGGCCAAAGTGCATTTATATCGCGATAATGATTAGAAGAGTTTTGATGGCTATGGCTAACGAGTCGTTGATGGATGACAGAGATTATGTCGGCAACAAGAGGCTTGAATTGTCCGTGTTAAAGCACCCAATTTTAAATCGTTATTTTTTTTTTTTGATCAAGTTACTTCTATTAACACAAATGCACTGCTTATATTTTTATCTTTAGAGCGGGCTCGTTACTATCCCTTCTTTTTGAAGATTTATTTAAGAAATTTAACCATGATCTTAAAACCAATATTGACAAAGTGCTCAAGAAACCAAATAGAGCGCAGGAATTTGACGTCTACAATCAGCTTCAATGTCATGGTGATCATATAACCAGTGGGTTTGTTCGGGCAATATCAACCGGCAATTGGTCTCTCAAGCGATTCAAAATGGAACGTGCAGGGATTAGTCATGTATTATCTCGCTTGAGTTATATTTCTGCATTAGGCACGATGACAAGAATATCATCTCATTTCGAAAAGACAAGAAAAATTAGTGGGCCTAGAGCTCTTCAGGTGAGTGACCCGAGGGTGAGGGAAAAGAAAAGAGTAGATATACTTGAAAAGAAAAAAAAAACACGATAAGACCATGTTTTATGCATTAATTCAATGTTTTGGCAGTGAATGATGAAATAACGTCGATTGTGAATGGGATAATAGCCATCGCAATGGGGTATGCTCTGTCCTGCAGATACGCCTGAGGGTGAAGCGTGTGGATTGGTTAAGAATCTTGCATTGATGACGCACATTACGACTGATGACGAAGAAGAGCCGCTGAAACGGCTTGCCTTCATTCTTGGTGTTGAAGGTATTACATATACATTCGGGTGATAGCGTTGTTTTGTTGTAATCGGGTAATGGAGGATAACTTATTGTATTGAACTCTAAAAAAAAACAACAAAAACAAACACAACATCAGATGTCAGTTTATTCACTGGCGCGGAACTTTATCGTCCTAATACTTACATGGTGTTTCTTAATGGTCTGATGCTTGGAATCACTCGCCGACCGATGAAGTTTGTCCGAGATTTCCGTAAATTACGTCGTCGTGGTCGTATATCGGAATTCGTCAGCATCTATGTGAATCATCATCATGCTGCTGTACATATTGCTTCAGACGGTGGTCGCGTGTGTCGTCCTCTTATTATTGTCGACAATATGGCACCAAAGGTGACAAATAATCACATTCAAGTAGGTTGAGCGACCAAGGATAATACAACGTGCTATGTAAAAATTCGCATTGTAGACTGAACTCTTTTCCATTGTTTAGCTTCTGAAACAAGGAAAACTGGGATTTGCTGATTTCTTGAAGCGAGGTCTTGTGGAATACTTGGACGTGAACGAGGAGAATGACTCGAACATTGCAATATATGAGAGAGAGATTATACCCGAGACTACGCATTTAGAGATTGAACCGTTTACAATTTTAGGTGCCGTGGCTGGACTTATTCCATATCCACATCATAATCAGAGCCCAAGAAACACGTACGTCACTGTTCTTAATCGTTTCTCGTTGAATTTTTCTGAGACGATTATGACATTCTTTTCTTGATCGAAAAAAGGTATCAATGCGCAATGGGCAAGCAGGCAATTGGGGCTATAGCATTCAATCAATTTGAAAGAATAGATACACTCCTCTATCTTATGGTATATCCTCAACAGCCACTAGTTAAGACCAAGACTATAGAATTAATCGGATATGATAAAGTGAGTAATTAATGTTTTACGTTTATTTTACGAATTTTTTTTTGACAACTCTACTGTCACATTTTAGTTGCCAGCTGGACAGAATGCCATCGTGGCAGTAATGAGTTACTCTGGATACGATATAGAAGATGCATTGGTACTCAACAAAGTAAGTGAGCAGCCAACTGTTATTCGATTTGTACTTGCATCGATATAATTAATCTAACATTGTCATGATACTCTTGATTGTAAATTGTAGGCATCAATAGATCGTGGTTTTGGACGATGTCAAGTAATGAGAAAATATGTCAGCGTCCTCAAAAAATATCCGAATGGAACGTAAGTCATATATTGGAATGAATCGCATGGCCATGGCTGCAACTTTACATTTTCGACCATATGTTCCTTTAGGTTTGACAGGTTGGCAGACCCACACCAGGACAGGAAATATGATATACTAGAAGCGGACGGAATAGCCGGCGTTGGAGAAAGAATAGCACCGTCGCAAGTCTACATTAATAAACAAACACCCACAAATCTCACTACTCTTGTGTCTAATGTGGATATATCGGCAAATACTTACAAGAATGCTCCTTTATTCTACAAATCACCTGAACCCGGATACGTTGATAAAGTAATTACATGCATATATATGTATGATTCATGGATGAGTACGCTAGTAATGCAATTACCGCTGAGGACGTAAAACTAATAATATTCACATATCGAACAGGTTATTCTGACTACTACCGATAGTGATCAAACATTAATAAAAGTGCTGATACGGCAAACCAGGGTTCCTGAACTAGGAGACAAGTTCTCCTCTCGTCACGGACAGAAGGGAGTCTGTGGCATCATAGTACCGCAGGAAGACATGCCATTTACGGACCAAGGCATTTGTCCAGATATTATCATGAATCCGCATGGATTTCCATCTCGAATGACTGTTGGGAAAATGATTGAACTGTTGGCTGCAAAAGCCGGCATTCTGAAGGGTAAACTACAGTATGGGACTGCATTCAGTGGAAGTAAAGTCGAGGATATGAGCAGGATTTTAATTGAAAATGGATTTAGTTATTCAGGCAAGGACTATGTCACTTCAGGTAAATTCAATTGAATATAATCACGTGTTTTAATTATCATTCGTAAACCTTAACATGTATGTTACGAATAATGCATAGGTGTCACAGGTGAACCCTTACAGGCATACATATTCTTTGGACCCGTGTACTACCAAAAGTTGAAACATATGGTGGTCGACAAGATGCATGCACGAGCGAGGTGTGTTTGTTTACCTTATATGTGCACCAGACGGTTTCAGTAGCACAATACTAAACATTCTAATTGTATTTACGTTCTGCTAATCCTAGAGGACCACGAGCGGTTCTCACTCGTCAACCAACAGAAGGCCGTTCCCGCGATGGTGGTCTCCGTTTAGGCGAGATGGAGAGAGACTGTCTAGTTGGGTACGGAGCAAGTATGCTACTCATGGAGAGATTAATGCTCTCTTCTGACGAGTTTGATGTGCATGTTTGTGAAAATTGCGGATTACTAGGTCATCAAGGATGGTGCCAACATTGCAGGTCTAGCAAATATATGGTAACCATGCAGATGCCATATGCGGCAAAGTTATTGTTCCAAGAGTTACAGAGTATGAATATTGTGCCGAGATTAGTGCTCGAGGAGTTTTGATAATAGTATTGTTATCTTACAGTATTGTTCTAACAATAAAAATACCCAAAATTGTCGATCGTACGTAGGACTTGTCACAGGTGATAATATAAAAATTGTCCACTAAATTTAACTATCTCCTTGAAATCTATTATGGTAGTAGTTTTACCGAGGCCTTGGCTCATCCGAAACGTCTTTATAAAATCACACAGAATACCTAAAATTTTTAAATATAGTTCGGGCAATAAGAAGAATAAGAAAGGCTGGTCTTTTCTAACGCAATATCCCCCCACCCCCCCCACACACACACACAACGCATATATATTTCTCTCTCTTCCTTTTCGTCATACAAGTTCTTTGCACCTATTGTAATCCTCTTTACTACTCTACATACCAATCGTCAAAAAAAAAATGATCCTGCATTCATCCGTCAATATCTCTCACCTTCCGAACGAACTGCTGGCTAGCATTTTTAGTATCTTTCGTGGCGGCGAAGACCAAGACTCGTCCGGAGCTGACAATGACAGTAAACATCTTACAGAACGATTGGCTGCGCAAGAAGCGCCACTTCGTGCTATTATGCTTACCTGTCGACTATGGAGCGTGTTGGCCGCGCCTCTATTATGGAAAGTCAGGGTATTAGACTCGGCAATACCAAATGAAGTTCGGAAATTCGCTTACGTAGTCACTCATGGAACCTACTTTCCGTATGGAGACTATGTAGAGAGGTTAAGGATTAATATCGGGCCTAATATCACTCCCGAAATAGTGCAATGTGTTGCTGATAAATGCAGAGGGTTGAAGTATTTATGCTTGGTTGGAACGTATAAAGATACAAGACCAGCACAGATTCCTGACTCGATAACTAATGATAATCTTCCGTGGGGAGCCATTGCCCGGTATGCATTATATATTAAATAAATAGTGAATGTACGAAAAATATAAATACTAAATTTCTCACATTTATTTTCTTTTCTTGTTTTTCAGTAACTGTCGCCGAATTGACAGCCTTGTTCTAATGAGTTGCTTATACAGTCTATCACTTTCCGATTTTGTCAACAATCTTTCACCGCTACAACGACTTGCCCTGATTGGGTGTCCGCCCTATCCGGCGACGTTCTACGTGAGTCTAACAAAATGTTGCGGTAGTAACCTGCGCCGTATCTATCTCAGAGCGTTTGAACCAGCCCACACCGACTTTATGCTAAATCTAATAGCTATGAATTGCCCAGAAGTCAAAGATTTGTTTTTCTGCTGGCCACCGCGCAAGAGAAACATACAGCAATATGCCGTTACCAGTGTTACGCTTTCCAAGTTACTTTCATCTTTACGTGGATTGCGTCATCTATCATTGTTTTGTTTTCTTGACGTAAACGATAAAGCATTTAAACTTCTTGCGAAACACGAAGACTTGAGGGTGCTCGATATGCCGTTGTTGTTCCAAAGAATATCTTTGGATGCATTAAATCTTTTTGCCCAACACCTGACCAAGCTAGAATATTTGAATATCATGGCCCCTAGTGCAGATGCCGAGTTCATTCGCACCATGGTGTCGAAGAGTAATATATTGGAACGTATGAGACTATATGCTATGGACCCGGCTCTAGTGATGAATCCGAATATCAAAGATTCGGATTTGAAAAAGTACTTTGTTCCACAAGGTCTTTTTGTAAACATGCTTTGGCATAAGCATGGAACTTTGAAAGATACAGCATGGTTGGACGATGATTTGTATAGGAAAGCAGTTTAATGTAAATGTAAATATTAATTTAATTGACGTAATAATAAATGTAATCCAAATAATAATACCTCTACATAATAATAAGACAGCGTATTTGTGTGTATGGATGCGAGTATATGCGTAGAAATTCGGTCCAAATGTTAAAAATTAAAAGCTCAGAGTATGAATAAATTAAAATGTTATTAGTAGTAGCCTCAGAACTTGATTCCTGTGTACTATCGTTGGTATGGCTTTAACACTTTACATAATAAATGCTCAACATCAAATGATAGCTCAGAGTTTAAAATCCTTCATAACTTACACCGGAAAAGTTGTTATTATTACTTCTTATATAATGAGTGACTTCTATACTAACTAGAGCAAAAGAAAAATTTTGTTCGTTTTCCTCTTGCGACACAAATAGCAATTCCAATTCCAGGTGCATATAACATTCTCACATTACTCTAAATTATTAGTTTTATCGAGTCAATCAGTCACTACTATCCACTCAATTAAGGATTTAGCTGCGGTCCTTTAAATTATGGCTTTTCACGCTTCCCCCTAAATCGTTCGACGTGAATAGAAGTCACAAAAATACTACACTTTCGTATCATAACCTGTGTCAATAGTAATATTAATAGATTTTCTGTATGACAATGACCCAGATCACTAACACAGAAGTCATTTTTGGTTCGCAATACTTGGTACTTTTGAGGCGTAATCTCCATGAAACAATCATAGTAGACTAAGAGATAGGTGAGCTTGTGGACCGTATTGAGGAGATTCAAATCAGATAATCAGGAAGAAGAACAGCGTATTTTTGTTATGTCAATGTTTTTGCAAAAACTTTTGTAACACACTGTATGTTTTCTGGAAGCTCGCGTTTTTTTATTTATATATAAATATATATAATAATAAAAAAACGCAGGAGAGTGAAGACTCTGAAAGATGCAAAACATTGGAGAAACAAGTGGAAATATGAGAGGCAAGTAAATTACATCCATAAATATCACAAACTCAAGGGCTCGGAGTAGTTATCTTTAAAAACTCAACAACTATTCGGTTTGAGCTCATTAGATTCGGAATAAAGTGAAACAAAAATACTGTCTAGTACTAGGCAATAGTCTCAATAAGGTAAAACTAAACATTTTTAAAAATGTATCATTCTTCGTACGTGCTACTTTTTGCTAAGTTGTTTGAAAGTTCAGAATAAAGTGAATAATTTTAATATTATTAAAAATGCACAAGGGATAATAATAACTGATAATTTTTTTGCAAAGATAACGTTGTACAAGTGTGCTATCACTGAGTATTGCACTAGTGATTGATGGAACAACACTCATATGAGGAGGAATTAATCTAAGACATCTATTGTCGGTTGTCTAATAATGTAAACGGCGATGCCTTCGATAGCTGTCAAAACATTCGGCTTATAACTGATTTTATTTGAAGGTTTGGTGATTGGATTATTAGACATCATATTTACAGTAATCCAATTTATTTATTGTAGCATCTTGAATCCATTACGTTCTGAAGGACTAATTTTCCTGTTCATAATAAAGATTTTGTCGATTTTCTACGCGTGATGCGACTAATGCGTATTGTGTGTGTATTAATAAACGATTTTAACGAGTCAGTGTTAGTTGTTCGTATTTATCTGGTGTCTAATGGTAGTCGTATCTGTCCAACAATTAAACAGGTGAGATAACTTTATCCAGAAAACCCCAAATCTGTGCTGACAGTGCTCCATCTACAATGGTATGACCGACCGAACGGAACGTTCGACAGACGTTTTCCAGGGATGTGATGCACGTATTTAATGAACTGCTGCTGAGATCACAGGCTGTTGGGCAGGCATTCATCAGGCAAGAAGCTTGGACATCGGAGGAATAGGGGCCGATGTTGGAAGATGAAAGTTTAGTGGTGGTGTGTTGTTATGTTTACGCTGGGTTACAATTATAAATGGCCACATTGGCAATAAACTAACCATACTACTTAGTACTGATCAACTAAGTCTTTGCAATTCTACTGCAGATGGTTTCTATTCTCAACGTTATTACAAAGCGCATAAGTCAGGAGAAAGTACTAGAGCAACTAGTATCATCAAAATATTTGTGTACACACAGTTCATTTACTTCACAAGGATGTAATGCTACCAGTGATGTGGCAAATATCTTATGATCAGGATTAGCTCTAATTTTAGACGAAGTAAACTTTTCAAAGTATTCTCCGATCATAGTAATAGGAGCACTGCATCAAACTGCACCGCACGATTTATTCACCGAGCCGTCCCTCCAAGAGTTGTTGCGTCAGCAATCGCAAAAAACAGAACAACGCCAGTAAGTATTGTGGGGGCTGAAGCTGAAGCTGAAACGCTCGTGACTTGAAATTTATCACGTAATTAAGACGGGGTAGGCAAAATATATCACGTATGTAATGTTTGTTGCACACTGTGCATGATAATAAAATATAGTAATACGATATTCTTTCTTCATTGCTTTCAATAACTAACTTACATCTGCGTTTCATCGACTGTACTAAATTAATTAACGTAGTTTTTGGAATAGCGTTCCATTCCTCTACCATAAAACGACTTAAATCTTGCTGATTTTGCGGCATCCTTTTTTCTACGTTTCTTTTAACAATGTTCCAAAGATTCTCGATAGGATTTAAATCCGGACTGTTGGCTGGCCAGTCCATAAGATTCGGAACATTTTCACTAATAAACGACTGGGCAAGACGACTGGTGTGCTTAGGATCATTATCCTGTTGAAGCCGCCAGTGCCTACTCATTAGTCTCCTAATTTCTGGAATGTGTTTTTCTAGAATTCCTACATAGAACTCTGCATTCATTATATTTGTAAAAC